AAATCAAAGTAAGAAAGATTTTCATGTTTCTGAATGTCAAAGTAGTCAGAGAGGTTTAGAGAGGGATTTTTTTTTTTTCTGTAAAGTCTTTGCTGTTACAATTACCTACTGAAAATACTGGTTACAGTTAAAAACCAACTCTCCTAAGCACTAAGGAAGATGAGGCTCCATACTTGTGCTGCTAAAGTCTTCCTGCTCTATGATGGGATGCTCATTCACTCTGGAAACTCAGTACTCCATCTAGTGCAACAGAGCATCACTGAGAACAAACATAGGAAAGTTTAAGGCACTGAGCTCTTGGGGAGAACGGAACCATGTCAGCAGCTGATTTAACTAAGCTAAAAGTGTCTGTTTCTGACCACCTGTAGGACCTTTATCTACTCTTCCGCTTTTATATATGTGCCTTATCTTCAGCAAAATGAGCTAGCTGTTTTCAAGAGCAGGCAATTGCTAGAGACTCAAGTTTACTATTTTCTGTGTGTACAAAAGGGGACCAATAATAAAGGTGTCGAAGAGTGCTGATGAAGAGCAAGGGCTGGATGAAAAACTGTTGAAAGCCTTCGTGAAACATACTGTCTGGGTGATCAACTGGTAAATGGACTTAAATCTGTAACTACGATGATGTACATGAGAAAAATAATCTTAAAATAAATCGTAAAAAAACATATAAAGTAATGTAATCTCAGATGACTGCTATCAGCGTGGAAAGAGAGCTCAGGGTCAAGCCAAATAGTCCTACGCAAACACTACCTCAAGTGCTCAGTAACAGTTAAACAATCAAATTGAAAAACATCTTTATGCCATTAGATGAACCTTTCGTGTATCTGCCACATTTGATACAAGGCATGGCTCTGCTCCTCCCTTCCATGTCTCAAAAAATATACCGAAAAAGATACAGAGATAAATAAAGAGGATGACCAAAGGTTATAGAGAAATAACCAAGTACACTAGGACTCAACAGGTTGGAAAAGATACAAGTAAGTCTGAGTATATTACAAGTCCATAAAACCAGAGAGGGTGAACAGTGATTTAGTTTTTCGTTTTTTTCTAGGAAGTAGGGACATCATTTGAAACAAATGAAAAATGAAAACATAAATAATGGAGGTGGCTCTTCTGATAATCAAGTTTATGACAAGTTGGGCATACAGATCAAGTCATACAACTTTGGAAGTGAGACACAAGTCTCAGGGCTTTACTGAAAATGTGTACTCTTTTAAAAATAATAGAATTTAGGAACCTGCAAATTTTTAAGTGGGCAATGTGGCAGGCGTGGTGGGCAATGCTACAGTAATAAATCCATTTTGAAGGTGAAGGAACACTTCTAGTTTTGTGTTCATTCCCTTCCTTCAGAATCTCTCAGTCTATGATCAATCAGTACGATAAACCACCAAGGTGTTAGATGTTACTTGCTGTGTGTTTTGCAGTGAAATATAACCCTAGCAAAATCCTTGCCTTGGCCCCCTTTTTCACTTACTTCAGTTGCTGTGGCTGTTTTGATGTTGCCCTGCCCTTGATTTGCTCTCCAGCAAGAGCTTTCTTGTTCGGTACTTGCCTGCTGACAGATGAAAGCAGGTAAAATCTTCAGTTCCCATGTGGTCTGCTGCCGTCCTGTGCTTCTGCATAAGCAACATATTCTCTGGGAGAAGAGCAGGCTGGGTGGTAACCCACCATCGTTCTCAGGAGCCAATGTCCCAAGGTTTCACCTAGCACCCCTTATTTTGTGGGTAACAGAGGCACAGTGACTGCCTGCTGCATACTGTTTCGCGAAATCTGACCTTGCACAGAATACTTGCCCAGTTTGCTGGGTTTTGAAGGGAAAGGAGAGCTAAATAAAACAAACTTGGAAAAATTATTGTGTTTTTGCAAGTGTAGGAATTCTTACCCATATGATGAAGGTATCCATATTCTATGGCCATCCTCTCCAAGCACCTTTTCACAGTGCAGAATGTCAAAAATAATAAATCACAAAAGAAACATCAATGTCCCAAGGTTTCACCTAGCACCCCTTATTTTGTGGGTAACAGAGGCACAGTGACTGCCTGCTGCATACTGTTTCGCGAAATCTGACCTTGCACAGAATACTTGCCCAGTTTGCTGGGTTTTGAAGGGAAAGGAGAGCTAAATAAAACAAACTTGGAAAAATTATTGTGTTTTTGCAAGTGTAGGAATTCTTACCCATATGATGAAGGTATCCATATTCTATGGCCATCCTCTCCAAGCACCTTTTCACAGTGCAGAATGTCAAAAATAATAAATCACAGAAAGAAACATTATGCAAGGAAAATATCCAAATCCTATGTAGCCTCCCCTCTCACTGAATTGCGCTATTTTGTTTATAAATGCAAAAGTGTCTACTCTGCATCTGTTGTAATGACGTACTGTCTCCACTTACTATTTCCAGCAGAAAAGGAAATTGTGAGTTATGATCTTTCTTCCCTAATCTCTGGTTCTACTTACCCAAAAGAAAGGTGATATATTTTGCTGCTTTGGTACATCTACCAGGCAGCAAAAAGCTCCTCAAAGATACAAACACTATCAGTGTTTTTCAGGCAAAAGAGGATTAATTGCACCAGGAAGCATTGCTCTTGGAGACACAACTGAACTCTTTATTCATCTACTTTTGAGAGCACAAGCATCTCCAGAGCATGGACTTGTTTTGGGTAAAAAAACATCAGTTCATGCTGTATCCTGAACAGATCCCAACCGCAAATCAAATGAACTGACAAAACTGAACTGTCTCAAGTGCCAGTTCAGCTCTTTTGTGATTTTTTTTTTTGTCTTAAACTATTAATATAATACCAAGGTGAGTTTCTTAACCTTAAAAAAAAAACAAAAAACAAAAAACAACACAAAACACAAAAACCAAACACCAACGAACCCAAAATCCCCCAAACCCAAACCCAACAGGATAACATTTGCTAGTGTATATTGGTCACTCCCAGAGCCTCAAATGTTGTTCTACCATACAGAAGATACTAAAAGGTTGGCACTGGGATACACACACCCTTGTTATGTGCCGCCTCTTCACTGTTTTTTTTTTTTCTTAAACTTTATTTTATTTGGAACATACACTAATATAGGCTTATCATTTTGGATGTATATACTGTCTCTTATAGATGAAAGTTCTGAATACAGAGTAAATCAGGAGTAGTCCTGGCTGCAAGAAAAACATTTATCATGGATTTGTAATGCCAGCAAAACAGAAAACAGACAGATCAATAACACTCATTAGAGCTTTATCTACAGCTCAGCTCTAAAGTGACACTAAACACAAACTTTTCATGATCCTGAGGGAGAATGGTCAGAAAATCTAGCATTGAACTTACTAACCTGAGAACAAAACATGCAGACAGACCAAAATGCTCCATCGTAAAGTACAGAAATATCTTCTACAGAACAATCCAAGGTTTTCTTGCTGGAGGTATACCTTGTGGTTTGCCTACATCTACTGATTTCCAGTTACATTACCTTTTTTAAATTTCTCCTTTCTTTTCTCTGCAATTCCAATATACCTTTGCTTTACTAGTCTGGGGCTTTTGGGACTGCTAACATAAGAGAACAGAATTAAGGCAATATGGCTGAATGATATAAATGTGAATTTGATACGTATGTCAGATACACGGATGAGATAACCTTCCGTAAAACACTGAAGGACAGCTAGGACCAGCAAGTACAAAAAATAAGTTAACAATCTGAAGAATTAAAGCATTGCTAAGAATCTTGTTAAGAATCCTGTGTAAGGTGGGAACTAAGGCTAACATCTGAACAATTTTCAGTCAGTAAAAGCTGATACACCAAAGCAGATCTCAAGTCAAAGACAATGCTAATAAAGACTCAGTTTTGGTTCCACGGATGTCATCACCCGTTTCTAAACCCTGAAGTCTAGGAAAGAACTCAGTAATACAAATTCGTAATGAAATAGCTACTTCAAGCTTTTAACCGACTCTTCTTCCTTCTTTATGATTTAGGCTGACATTTAGGTAAAAGGAGGATTTTCAGAAACTACTGTCTCAGTAATAGTCAGCTTGTTACTATACTGCATAATGAAGGGGCTGGCTATCCCAAATAGCAGAGAGCTCAGGTAAGAGTGTTATTACTGAAGCACAGAGTGACCGCACCTGAACTGGATCCCTCTGTTGCCAAATTTTGACTGAATATTACCAGTGTTAATGGAATCCATCACCAGTGTCTGTACCGTAGGCATGGTACAGGCAGCTAAATCACCTATAAACTGCAGTCACTGCACTAGAATTATTTTTGTGTTCTTCTTTTGGGTTTTGTTTGTTTTGAGGAGGGAAGGCTATGGGGGACCCAATACCTACAAGAAGGTTATCAAGATGATGGAGCCAGGCTTTTCACAGAGTGCACGGTGGGAGGATGAAAGACAACTGGAAGAAGCTGAAATGAGACAGGTTCAAACAAGAGGACATGCGGAAAAAGCTTTTCAACACGGGGACAGCCAAGCAGTGGGACATCCATCCTTGGAGGTTTTCAAGACCCAACTGAATACAGCCCTGAGCAACCTGCTCCAACAATAAAGGAACCCTGCCTTGAGGAGGATGTTAGATTACATTACCTGTAGAGATTGCTTCCAATCTATATTGTCCTATGGATCCTATCGTGTGTAATGTTTCAGATCTAATTTCGATGTAATAATGTACAGAACACAAGATTAGGCAAAAGATTTACAGATTAATTGTAAAAACAAATTCCTACGAACACATGGAAACATCAAAACCTTCTGGTAATGCAGTGTAATAGACAGTCCCCTTGTTGAAAAAAATCTCAGAAAACAATCAGAAATACTTTGCCTTATTATGACAGAAAGGTATTTGGAAATAAACATACCTATGTAATTTTTCAGAACTCAGGAAAAATATAAGTAAAATACTTTGAAAGTGCATTCACAAAAGGTATCAAAAATGATTAGGATTCGAGATGGGGCTTCCCAAACTGTGGAGAAAAATACCTCAAAGACTAGAACTGTCTGCAAGCACAGAGAAGTTCAGCTTGTCCTTATGAATAAACATCACTGAGGAGAGACAGGAATTTGAGAAAAAGTGGCTGAAGAAAGAAAATATTTATCTGTCTAAAAGGAGGAAAAGAGTGACTACGATAAATGCAAAATATTTTACTTATTGCAAACAAAAGCTGTGGTAACAACATTGCACAATACCAAATTTCAAGGTTTTGAAATTCTCAGAAATTATTCTTCACTGTGATTTTTTTTTTCTCCATATATCTTTATAATTATATTTTTACATCAGTTTTACATTGTGACAAGAGTAAATTACTTACAGAAATTAAGACAAATTGTATATAACCTGCCAGCTTACTAATGTTTCATTTATATGTCACGGAGTGTAACCATTTAACACTTTGATCTGAAAAGGATTATCAGATTCAATGCTTTGCTAGCCATATAACAGAATGGTATGGTCTGCACCAACAATTTTTTAAAACGATTAGAAGTATACAGGAATTCACTGTAAGTGTGCTGTTTGTAGTTTCTGCAAAACATAAGCAACAACTAACTTTGTTACTTCATTAGAACAATTTCTCCCTTTTGTGTAAGATCTCCAGCAAAAAGGCAGACAAATGCATAAATCCAACATTTTTAGATCCAATGCTGAATAGCCTGGAGGGCAGTAGTAAAAGTCCTGAGTGCAGGATGAGTCCCTCGATGAGACATCAAGAGGGACCCAGCCTCTGCGTTGAACCCTGCTTCTTTAAGTTGTTTTGCTATTTCCTCTACATCCCAGCCTCCTTCTCCCTGGTTAGCCAGTAAGTGGTCAATAAGACGAGGATAGAAGGCAGTAGATACGCACTTCACCACTAACTTGGCATTGAGGAGCAAGGAAAGTATTTCAGCGTCACAACTGGAATCATCAACCTAAAAAGAAAGGAAAATCCAAAGTAATTAATTACCAGATACATCCATAAACTAGAACATGTCATGACTGTTCTAACTGCACAGATCTTGAAAGTGAGATGAGTATTCTATATGAATTAACAACAGGGATACACGCTTTGCATATGTCAGAACATGTAAAGGTATGTCTTTAACAGTCTCTATCACATTAATAAAAATATTTGACCCGCACGAAGTTAAGGAATAAGGATGCTTAACAACCTGGCTAGGATTACATGAACAGCTTTATAGATTTTTCACAGGTTCTCAGCCCCAGTACAGAACAGACCACACCATTTACCTCCATATCAAGAATGACACCCTAGGGAAGGTCAGAGCAGAGTATATTAAATTTTGGTCACTTTATATTAATATAATATGTTATATTCCACAGACTAATATGATATGTAACATTTGCAGACTCAACCAGACTTTCCAGAGTTTCAGCACTCACAGCAAGGATGAGATTTTCAGAAGAATACAACTTATATTTTAAAAGATTTGGAGAACAGAGCTGCTACCTCTGAGAGACACCCTGGATGCCTCAGAAAAATGTGGTTACATGATACATGAGAGCAGGTATTGTCTTGAAAATCTTGTCTATAGCTTTACAAATAACACTACAGAATACTTTAAATTCTATTTCAGTTCATTTTGACATGTCTTTCCTGGGTTTCTTGAAATGCAGTGTTGTTTTAATCAGCTTAGGTGTCTTACCACTTCAAGAAGTGCAATAAAACAAATATATATAACCAAAAAAAGGGCCAAAGGAGGGGTAGACAGTAGTCAGTTTTCAATGACTGCATCTTATCAAGTTACAAATAAACTAATCAAATTATGCTACATTTACAAAACAACCTCTCGGTTTAAAAAAAAAAAAAAATCTGTCTGGTTAGCCTCTGTTTCATTTTCTGTAAAAATGATGTACTATCTTACATGGTTGGTACCAGTGTACCAGCAAGTACCAGTGATTTCGTACCCTTGAAGACCAACTCAACCGCTACACAGGACCACAGGACATGACTACTGTATACTGAGAGATTTGGCACTGACACTTGACAGTTGAAATTAAGCAATTTTTAATCTAATTAGCATGACAGAACTTTTAACCCTGATTCTTTTCAGGACAGTATTTAAAATTTCCTTGTCTCTGTTTTAGTTCAAGCTAAAACAGTGCAAAGCTTTGCTTCCTCATGTTCACGTGCAATGGGCTGCATCCACCCCTTGCCCCAGCGTTGTCACCATGAGCACACTGCAACAGCCACTTCTTGCTTATAACCCAATTCTCTGTCCCATGAGGTTTCCACAACCATTTCTCAGTAACATGTAACAGTGTCAATTTGTAGTTATGGGGTTTTTTTTAATTATTAATTTTTTCCAGAAAGACTGAACAGAAGTATGATCTATTAGTCCAGAAAACCAAATGTCTACCTACTCAGACACATACACTGTCAGAGATCACGCACACCATTTAACATGGACCATCTACTGTGGGAGATTACTCTCTCCAGTTTCCCTATAAAGGCAGTCAACCCAGAAACAGGTTCCTCAAAGCATAAATCAGAACAAGTATATAATTTTCTCTTGAATGCATGGAATTGCAAGACTCCCAAGGTTTGGCATCTTATTTGGAGGAATCAATATTACATTTGCATGTAGAGGAACACAGAGATCATGAGGAACTACCAGGTAGCTCCTTGCATTGAAGTGGGTGAGAAATTTGCAACTAGCTTCAGGAGAAAGAACTTCCTTTGAAGTAACAACAAATTCTTTTAGAAGAAAGTTCTTTATTGTACCTAAATAGTTTTAGACTAATGAATATAAGTTTCGCTTGTGTGAAAGAGCTGAAAAGTCAGCATGATGACTGAAAGCATACATGTGATAAGCAACAGAAACAGTAATTTGTTGGACTGTTTTGGAAAAGATGCACTCTACACAACATAAAACATAATTGAAAAAGGAAAAAGACAAAACATGAAATATTGTAGCATGAAAAGCTGTTACACCTCCTTTTATCACCTTCAATTTACCATTAATAACACATGATCATTGCTTTCAATTTACTATTTTCACTTCCTTTGGAACTTCAGAAGCTTTCCAGAAAAACAGAATGTCTTTATCATGTTAACCAGGAAGAGTCTGCTGTTTCACCCTCATGCTACTTCTTCCATTACTTCATTTAGATATTTGTGGTTTTCTTTCCATTGAAATCTTAAAAATAAACTTGGTTTCCTCCAAGTCTTTCATCATTTTCATAATTAATTAAATAAACCTCTTATGGATTACAAAGCTAATGCAATAGTGTGTAGCAGTTATAGGTCCAGTTTACAAAACAATTCTAAGAAGGGTAGGGATGTCCAATCTTTAAGTTGCCCACTTTAAGTCTTTAATAATTTAATAATTCCTCTAAATTGTCATATGTTAATTACTGACATGTTTTCCTGTTGGAGACAGGTTGATCATTAAATAAAATTCCTAGCATTGGCATCTTGTAGCATACCATGCAGCATACTAAGCCATTATCCAAACAGCTCTCATCCTTTCTGAAATGGGAGGCTGGAGGGATATCCTGCCCCACCTCTGAGCTCCCTGTGCTCTATTCTTGACCTGTATGTAGGATGCAACTTTACACAGGGCTTCAGTGTTTGATTTTGTGAACACAAAACGCGAACAGTAATTACAGTAATGAGATTAACAGCAGATGGGAGGTTTGATTTAAATGAGTTTTTTAGGCTATTATTCAGTTAATGAAAAGTCCTATAGATGACTGTGATTTCATATGCCCAAAACCTACAAATTGGAGAGACAAGTCTGAAAGTAAAAGACCTTTTCTAGCATAAAACCATTAAACATCTGAGCTATACTATGGGGATGAAGATGCCCGCACGCAACACAGAAGCAGAGCAACCTGTCTGTACTCATGCATAAATGAGATCATTGTGCCTTTACACACGACAAAAGAGCACACAAAAGGCTCTTGGCTGTGTCATCCTTAAGCTCAAATAGTCCAGTAGGTTTAAATTGATTAACATTTCCCATTTTCTGACTTCAAGGCTGTCTGAAGACCTGGTCAGAAAGAGGAAACCTTTGTAATGTAATTGTCTCCAGGCAACTGGATGGAGACATAAGATGGCAACTAGACCCTGTGAACGCATTTCACACAGCTAGGGTCACTATCTATTCTGCAACTCTTTGTTAAATCTAAGCAGAGTCTAACAGGTGTGGGAAGAACACAGAGAAGCAAAGGTTTAATGAGAAATCTGTATAAAAATAGGCAGCTGAGAAAGATAGATTAACTATTTTTGCAACTCCAGATCATGTCAACATTTTGGGTATCAATTGCATATGAAGAAACAGTCATTAGTTTAAATAAAAACAAATGCACACACAAATTCCTTAGCAACACCTACGCAGATTGTCAATAATGGGGCTACATCTGGCTTGCAACCAGTCACCAGCGGTGTTCCTCAGGGTTCAATTCTCGGGCCAATCCTGTTCAATATATTTATCAACAATCTGGATGCAGGAGTTGAATGCACCAT